AGCCAAAATCAAGAGAAGCAGGCGGCACATGTGCAAAAGGACAGACCTTCAAAAACCATCAAGTGTACCCTGGGGCACTCAAGAGACCCTCCCCCACACGGCCCACTGGCCCTCAGTCTACATTCCCTCCACCACACGGCCCACTGGTCCCTCAGTCGACATTCCCTCCCCCACACGGCCCACTGGCCCCTCAGTCTACATTCCCTCCCCCACACGGCCCACTGGCCCCTCAGTCTACATTCCCTCCCCCACACGGCTCACTGGCCCACTGGGACGAGTCCCCTCAGTCTACACCAGGCCACATGGCTGAAGGCCTGACACACACTCCTGTGCCCCGGCTTACCGGTACAGGCTGGACAGCGCCCACCACAGGGGCAGCTGCCCCGCCCTGAACAGCCTTTTTGGCAGCTGGTGTCTCCTGACTCTTGGGCTTCCTCTTCTCACGTTTGCGGTCCCTCTCCACAAAGGTGCCCTTCATCTTGGCAATGATGTCTGAGTCAGTCTTGGCGTACTGGATGCGCTACCGATCGGAGCAGAAAGGTCAAGGCCATGGAAATCAGAAGAAAACTTCAAGAGTTCAAAATGAGACCTCACAAGGAAATTGCTAAGAAAAATTATAGACTGCTTGGCCACAACTTCATCTGTAAAATGGGAGTATTTTCCACTTGGCAAGATTGTGGTAGGAACTTAGTAGGTCTAAGTGCCTGGAAGCAGCAGTCCCCTGATTAAATAAGCAGCTACTAACTGTAAGTTAGACTAAGTGCTTACAACTTTCCTATGAAGAACCCAGACATATGCTTATACACACAAAAAATAAAATACTTAAAAAAAGAGTTAAAAAAAAACTGCCAGGCATTAGTAGCACATGCCTTTAACCCTAGCACTCGGGAGGCAGAGGCAGGCAAATCTCTGTGAGTTCGAGACCAGCCTGGTCTACAGCACGAGTTCCAGGACAGCCTCCAAAGTCACAGAGAAACCCTGTCTCGAAAAAAAAAAAAATTGAGACAGGGAGACAGGGTCTCACTATGTAGCTGGCTGGTCTGGAATCCCCTATGTAGAACAGGCTGGCCTGGAGACCCATCTGCCTCTGTCTCCCTAAAATTAAAAGCATGCCCAGCAATAATTTTTTTTTGAAGTCCCATGCTCAGAAGGGGAACTGGTACATTGCAAAGTGAACTTTTCAGATCTAATGCTTAGGAAAAGGGAGGGGAACCAGATCTCATGGACACATGGAAGCTAAGGGATGGGAAAGCTGGGCCTAGGACTCTAGCTGCTGAGAGATAGAGAGGGAGAAGACAGGCCACATGGACAAGGGGGACCCTCTGTGCTTTCCAAGAAGCTGAGGCAGTGTTGATGACTGATGGGCGCTCTCCAAGGCCCTGTGGTGTAGAGACAGGCCTGGGGGAGAGGGGAGCACATGTGGAGCCAGGTGACAAAGGCAGCAGGGAGAGCACACAGGCATAAAGAAGAACAGGCTTAGGGAACCCTTTGTTCACTCTGGTTTGGGCCTATTTTTGCAAGTTTTAGTCACACTTTAGGATTCTGGCATTATGCTGGCCCGCCCGTCACCTGGCAGAATGCACTCAGGCAGGGTTCCATGATTGCGTAGTCTGCACGCAGGTGCAAAGGACCCCTTTAAAAGACAGACCCCGCCCACTTATGCTGTCTTTTCCAGCTCTTTGCTGGCTTCTCTCTCCCACTGTTCCTCTGGGGCAGACTGAACTTTTCCTGTCTATCTCCCTCCTCTCTCTGTGTCTCTACCTCCTTTCTCTCTCCCCCCCGCTTCCCCTCTAATAATGAGCTTCTCACTAAGCTCTGTCTGCCGGGTATGTCTGTCCCTCTGCCTCGGTCACCCTCACACTTTATCACAACAAAAGCTCCCATTCTATACTCCAGGTTGGGTTAGAATTCTTGGTGATCCTCCTGCCTCAGCCTCCTACACGTAGCCAGAGCCACCATGCTCAGTTTCGTGACCATTTGGTATCCCCGCAGCCCCAGTATAAGGAACCCCGAATGTAAAGGACCAGGCAAGAGAAAGTACACAGGCCACAGGTCCACACCCTCCTAGTTCCCTACAGCCTCCATACTCAAGATGCTCACCATGGGCTTGTCGTAGAACGGGAAGCCCTGCATGGAACGCAGGGCATTAGTGGCGCTGCTGACCTCCTTGAAAATGACAAAGGCCTGGCCCCTCATCTTCAGGCTCCGAGACACCAGGATATCCAGGATCTGGCCAAACTGCGAGAAGATGGCATACAGGGACTTCTTGAGCTCTGCATTCAGGGAAACAAGACACTGTGACAAAAGGCCTGCGTACTGTGTCCTGGAATCTGCACTATCCTTAGAATGGAGAGCCCAAATGAGGGACCACTGCCAACTGACAGAATACCCAGAATGCTACAGCACAAGAACCCACAATAGCTGGGCGGTGGTGGAGCATGCCAGCGCTCGGGAGGCAGAGACTAGCCTGGTCTACAGAGCAAGTTCCAGAACAGCCAAGGCTACACAGAGAAACTGTCTTTTAAAAAGCCAAAACACACTACTAAACTAAACAAAAACCCCCAACCAACCCGCAATAACAGAAACAGCCAGGAACCACTCAAGCGGGCTTGCTTACGTGGACAGCAGCAGCACCTGCTCTACACTCGCTGTCCAAATACAAGCACAAGCCCTTCTTTTGGCCGCCAGGCCTCCAGCTGAGCTAGCTTCCCGGGCCTGTCCTAGGCCTGACAAGCCCCCACCCTTTTTCTGAGACAGGGCCTGATACTACAACCTCAAACTCTGAGCAAGCCCAACTATCTTTCAGAATACTACTTCCAAAGTGATGGGCAAAGGGGCCAGTGACATGCTGGCAGAACCTCCACATCACAGCCTCGTGACCCTGAGTGTGACCTCAGGTACACACAGCGGAGACTGCCTCCCTAGAGTTGTCCTGATCAAACGTGCATCCACATTCATAGACACACACAAACTAAATACAGAAAAATACTTGCTTCTGTTTACTTTCTGTATGTGTGCCAGAATTTAGCCTTTGCAGAATAGTAAATATTCTACTCCAGGACCTTATTTCCAGGCAAGAAATGAATTATTTGGTGTGGGGTTTTATTTAAAATTGTATAACCTTGCCGGGCGGTGGTGGCACACGCCTTTAAGCCCAGCACTTGGGAGGCAGAGGCAGGTGGATCTCTGTGAGTTCGAGGCCAGCCTGGTCTACAAGAGCTAGTTCCAGGACAGCCTCCAAAGCCACAGAGAAACCCTGTCTCAAAAAACCAAAAAAAAAAAAAAATGTATAACCTTTAAATGTGTGTATTATACAACACATATAGTTGTTGTTTTGTTTTTTTTGAGATAAGGTTTCTCTGTGTAACAGCCTTAGCTGTCCTGTAACTCACTCTGTAGACCAGACTGGTCTCAAACTCACAGAGATCCAACTGCCTCTGCCTCCCAAGTGCTGGGATTAAAGGCATGCTCCACCATCACCCAGCTAATATTTTTATTTTATTTGTGTGGGTATTTTGCCTGCAGAAGCCAGAAGAGAATGTCATATGTCCCCTGGAACTGGAGTTACACACTTAAAACCTCCCCAGAGTGCTGGTAATCAAACTCAGGTACTCTGGAAGAGCAAGCAATGTTTTAAACCACTGAGCCATCTCTCCAGGCCAAGTAGGTTTCTCCGTTGCTGAGGTTCAAAACCCAGAGCCTTACCCATGCTAGGCAAGACTAATACTACTTGCATTCCTCAATCCTTTTGGCGTCAGGCATGGTCTTGCTATGTATCGTAGGCTGGTCCGGAAGTCAAGATTCTCCTGTCTCAGTCTCCTGAGTACTGGGATTACAGGCCTACACCACCACACCAGAAGACATAGTCTTTGGTTTCTTTTTCACTTGTTCTGATCGTGTTGCCCTCTGGGAGTCCCTCTCTCTAAGTAACAGAATTATAGCTGTCTGCCGTTCAAGCAGTCCAAGAGTTTGCTTAACTAACTAGAATCCCACACTTATGTCCCAACCACTTTTCTTGGTATTTGATCTCAGGGAAGTTATGCCACCCAGAATTCTAACGTCTTAATCTGAGAGACTTGTGAGAATTAAATACATCTAAGAGTACAGAATCCTGTTACACGGCACTCATTACCCATCACTTCCGTGTGTTCTTTGCTCTGTGGCTAATCACTAAGACCAATGCCAGAGGCCAGAGACAGCGTCATGATAGCAGACTCGCTGGTCTTGATAGAATGATCCCAAAAGGCTTCACAGAAAGGAGGGGCCGGTGAGCTTAAACCTTCAAAATTATCAGCAATGTGCAGGTTAAGCAGCAGAGTGTAAAACGGTTAAGGGTGTATTGGAAACCAAGGGCTCAGTAGGTACAGAGGCCAAAGTTAACTCTTAACAGGCTGAACGGGGAGGCTGAGAAAGGAGAGTGGGTGCTGGGTGTAGAGGGGTCAGCTCATGTGAGATCACCTAGCGGCCAGGCTTTCCCGAGAACTTACCATCCTTCTTGATCTTCTCATTGAGATTGTTGATATAAATAGTGTGGTTGGGACGGGTCTCAGGAACTGCCATGGTCTCAGATGCTCAGGGACGGCTTAAAGGGAGAGAAAGAGGCGACTTCAGCTCTACGGTTTCCCAAAATTCTTTGTTCAAAGGGCTAATGGGCTCTGCTCGGGGATCCTTGCAGGAGGAGTTGGGTTAAGACGGGAACTGGGGAGGGATGGCACGGCTTGGCGACAAAGCCAGCGCAGCGTAGGACTCCGCGCCTCCAGCCCGCGTGCTAAGGGGGGGGGGATCTAGAGAGCAACTACGAATCCCAGAATGCTCCACGAGTCCCGGCGGGCGGGGCGTACCCAGCGGCGATTCCCATTAGTCCACGCGCTCGAACGGCGGCCAAGGAGGAAAAAGAAGAACCCGGATGTCGGGGCCAGTTAAGAAAGTAGGGACCGACTTGGGACATCCCGGCCTCTCCAAGAGCGGCCCAAGGCCCGACGCCAAGCGCTCCACCCGCCTCCGCAGCGCCGACGGGCGTCTACACCGCGGGAACTCACCACCTGAACCGCCGCGCCGGCCACGCTACTCCGCTCAGACACACAGCGTCCCGTCCCCGGCTTCTCCCCGCCGCGAGACGCCCTCCGCGCGCGAGCTCGGTAAGTCCCGGCTGCTCCCGGCCTCGGCGCCTGCCCAAGACCCGCACGCAGGGGTTCCCGCCTCAGCGCTAAGCCCCGCCCCCTCCCCCAGGGTGACCGGACCAATCAAAGACGGCTCCGAGCTCTCGGCCAATCGGGACGCTGCGGGAGCCCTAGCGCCGCCTTTCGGGAGCCACGCCTCTTCCCCTTCCGCCAGTAGCCTCGGGTCACGTGGTCGCCCAGCCGCGGCCTGAGAGAGGACGCTGGAGGCTGGCGGGGCCGACGCCGTTAGTTCCCGGCGGGAAACGTGTACAAGTGCCCGCGTTCCGTTCCGCAGACGGGCACCCTTGACCGCTGAGCGTCTGTAGCTCTGGCCCCGCCCACCGCCGGGCTGGTTTCCCGGCCGCGTGCCCTTTTTTAACCTCTTGACCTCTAGCTCCTGGGGTCATCTATAAGGTTCCAACCTCGAGCCCTGGACGTGAGATGAGGCACGTTACCCCCACACTTACCCCGGGTCTGAGCCTCCTTGTTACAGAAATGGAGAAACGAGATGGCTCTAGTGGATGAGATGTCGCCTACAACATATCCCTCCTAATGAAGCCCATCCCCGTAGCGCAGCCCACCCTGGGGAGCCTTCATCATTGGGCTCAGCCCAGTTCCTGTGGACACCGTTTGAAGTACTAACCCCGGTCCTCCCAGGCCAACTGCTCAGGCACCGTATCCCTCAAATCAACGCTGACTTTTACCTTGTTTCTAATCCAGATTTCTATGTGCCGGCCTGAATACCCCATCCAGTTGCTCTAAAAGCTGAAGTCTCCGCCCTCGAGAGATTTGAGAGGGTCCCCTTTCTCATCAGCTCTTACCGAAGACCCCACATGACTTCCTTCCCCCTAAGGCCCACGGTCCCGGAACCCCAAGACCCCAACATGCAGCCTCCGTTACCCCCAAGTCCCCTGGACGTGGCTTTGCCACCCCCTCCCTGTGGTCTCCAGGCTTCTGTCCCACCGCCGCCACCCCCACCCCCACCCTGTGCCGTGGGGGTTGCTTCCCCTCATGTCTACGGCCTGGAGAAGAGCCGGCTCCTGAAGGAGGCCTTGGAGAAGGCTGGCCCAGCCCCCAGAGGCAGGGACGATGTGCGGAGGCTCCTCAAGCTCCACAAGGACCGGTAGGTAGGCTTCCCAGACCCCCACACCACCCCAGGTCTCACCCAGACACCTGTCTCCAGACCACTTCAGCCACCCCATCTCAGGGTTCCCGGTTCCTTCCTCTCAAACAGCCAGATGCCTTAGGTCTCCTACCTAGCTCTTCGCCGCTTGACCTCTAGCAGTAGAGAGAGCAGCTGCTGCTCGTGCCTGGTTCTAAGGCAGTGACTCCCAGGGTAGCCAGGGTGGTGATAACGGGGCCCAAAGGAAGTGTGTGTCTCAGTGGTGGCTCCTGAGAGCACAGCTGCTACAGGCGCTGGAGAGCGAGCTGTGGAGGCCTCTGCCGCGAGGGCGACAGCGCCCGCACAGGTCTACAGTAAAGACGTGTTGTTTTCAGAGGACTAGCAGAGCAGGACAAGCAGCAGCCCACACAGCCTGGGGCGGGCTGGGTGGAGGAATCTGGACTGTCTGGGGTCTCTGATGAGCTAGAGAAAGGCTTTGCTCAGAACTGCACTTCAGTGAGGGATGCGGATCCCAAGAAGAAAGTGAGGCAGCAGGGACACAGGCAGGCAGGGAGGAGGGTAGAGAAGACACCACAGGCCCTGTCCAAACCGGTACAGAGACGCCCAGTGCCTGGCACAGGGCACATGCCTGTAATCCCAGAGCTGAGTTCCGGACCACACCGAGCTGCATGGCCAGACCTTGTCTTGGAGGGAGGGGTGAGGAGAGAGGGATCGAGGGAGGGAGGGAGGGGTGAGGAGAGAGGGATCGAGGGAGGGAGGGAGGGGTGAGGAGAGAGGGATCGAGGGAGGGAGGGAGGGAGGGAGGGGGAGGAATCTTAAACTCCCCAACCACACTTCTAAGCACACCAAGTGCCCCAGCCACCATATGCACGTTGAATGCAGACAGCCCATCATACCATATAGGTGATTAAAAGGATCAAAAGGGTTTGCTTACTTTGCTATGTTTCTTAGGCTGTTTCTAGTTATTTTTTTTGGGGGGGTGGTATTTGTTTGTCTGAGATAGACTCTCATGTAGCCCAGGCTGACCTCAAACTCTATGTAGCTGAGCACACCGACATATTGCCATCACCAGCTGTTCAGTGGTGTTCGAGACAGGGTTTCTCTTTGGGGCCCTGGCTGGCCTGGAGCTCACTCTGTAGACCAGGCTGGCCTTGAACTCAGAGATCCACCTGTCTCTGCCCCTCCAAAGTGCTGGGATTAAAGGTGTGCGCCACCATACTGGTCTGTTTTTTAAAATTTTTGACCCAGTGTCATACTCTGTAGGCCAAGCTGATGGAAAGTCTGTGTAGCCCAGGCTAGCCAGAAACTCAGTGACAGTCCTGCTTATGCTTCCAAAGTGCTGATATTACAAGCATGAACCACCACGTGTGGCCGAGTTTCTACGTGTTTGTTGCTCTCAGCAACCGCAAGCTGAGACTCTTGGAGGGCTGGAAAGACGACTCGGGGTCTGGAGCCCTCACTGCTCTTGCAGAGGACCTCAGTTCGGTTCCCAGCACCCACATGGCGTGCCGCCTCCTGTGATCCCTGCAGGCACCCACACCTGTGGTACACACTCATGCAGATACACGTAAGTCAAAGGGAGTCTCAGATGAAGGAACGCTGAAGCTCCCAGGGGCAGTCACTTTGCCCCGGCTGGGAGAAGGGAGAGGTCTCCATTGAACTCCAGTAGGGGACTGGGCACCTCTAAGCACCAGGTGTGCTCAGGAGTTATCTCCATCTGAGAAGCTGGAGTGCTGTGTGAGCATCCCCGCCACCACCCTGGCTTAGCTCCCACTGGCCTTGGAATAGGAAAAGGAAGCAGCCGGCCAGGAGCCTCTAGGGACTGAGATCACAGGAACCACGTGGGTGCCCCAGGGCAGGGCCTGCTCAGATTCATCTTTGAGGTGATCTCTTGGGCCTGAAGCATATAATCAGCTGGCTTTACTCAAGGCTGAATTAATGTCTATGTGTGTGCTGCAGTGTTTGGGTCAGAAAACACCTTGCCTGAGTCAGTTCTCTCCTTCCAACATGTGGGTCCTGGGATTTGAACTCAAGTTGTCAGGTTTGGCAGCAGGCGCCTTTGTCCACCGAGCCAACACACCACACCCCACACCCCCCAGACCTGGTGGGGAGAATGATCAGGCACTGGTCATGGTGGCACACCTGTAATCCCAACACCGGGGAAAATAAGGCAGAAAAATTGCCATTGGTTGGAGGCTAGCCTAGGCTACATTTGGAGATAATGTGTACAAAAGAGAGAGAGAGAGAGAGATCTTAGCATTTGGGTATAAAACATATACCTTCTAGAAATTTCCTCATATAAATCTTTGTGACTCCTGGTTGCATGGGTTCTGCATGTGCTCTTTGTCTTTCAAGGCCTGTGAGAAGCAGCAGGAAACAGGCAGAATGATGGCCTCCGCTGCCACCTGGGAAAACTGAGGCGGGGTCAGCACTGCCTCAGCAGTCGAGTAGCCCTGAGGCCTTAGGACAGATTGCTCAGTCCCCAGGGTGTGTCCTCAGAGCTGCGCCCTGCTGACTTGTCATCGCTCTGCTTCAGGTTTCGAAGTGACTTGCAATGGGTCCTCTTCTGTGCCGACCTGCCCTCCCTCATCCAAGAAGGCCCTCAGTAAGTGCCCATCGCCCTGATGCAAGAGCCAGGCCAGCCCTCTGAGGCCAAGCTGGCACTGAGGGGCAAGCATTTCCCCAGGCATCCTGGGGAGGAGGGAGAGAAAGCAGGGCATTTTCCACATCGTGTGTGTGTGTGTGTGTGTGTGTGTGTGTGTGTGTGTGTGTGTAGAGAGAGAGAGAGAGAGAGAGAGAGAGAGAGAGAGAGAGAGAGAGAGAGAGAGAGAGAGAGTGTCACAGAAGAACCGTTCAAACGCTAAATGAATAACTCCCATGAGAGCACAGATGACGTGGTCCATCTTCTCTCCACTTGGGTGCCTGTTCCCAGGAAGCACAGGTTGTCCCCACCTTCAGCCTGTTCTCCCCACCTGGCATGGGCGGGGAGGCAGGTCCCCCAGACAGCACAGCTCCCCCCTCCTCTGAGGTCGGGATTTCAGTAAAGACGTGACATGTGCTGTCTGTCTCTCCCAGGTGTGGACTGGTGGCCCTGTGGATGGCAGGCCGTCTTCTGTCAGCCCCTGACAGCGTCTCTCTAGAAAGACTGGTGCGGGTGGCCGTGGAGAGAGGCTACACGGCGCAGGGAGAGATGTTCTCGGGTGAGTTGGCTAAGCTCACTGGCTCCTCTCTAGGCCAGCTGGGGCCCTGAAGATGCGTGAGGGGTCTCATTCCCTTCTCCCGGTCCATCCCCTACAGTAGTAGACCAAAGTTGTTACCAGGAGAAGTCAAGCCATCTTTATGGCAGAGTGGTTAAACAGTTAACCCTTTATGCCTCACTTATTTTTTTGTATTTGTTTTTTTTTGTAGCACTGGGAACTGAACATAGGGCTGTAAGGCAAGTGTTCTACAAGAAAGCTACACCCCTAGCCTTTCACCAGGGGATTCTAGGCAGGGGCTCTACCACTGAGCCACTTTCCAGCCCCTCACTGGGGGATTCTAGGCAGGGGCTCTACCACTGAGCCACACCCTCAGCCCCTCACTGGGGGATTCTAGGCAGGGGCTCTACCACTGAGCCACACCCCAGCTCCTCACTGGGGGATTCTAGGCAGGAGCTCTACCACTGAGCTCTATTTCCAGCCATTTTTTTCTTTTGAGACATGAGCTCACTAAATTGCTTACCCTGGTCTTGAACTTACTGGGTAACCCAGGCAGGCTTTGAATATTTGATCCTCCTGACTCAATCTCTGTAGTAGCTGGGATTACAGGTCTATGCCATCAGGCCGAGTGTGAGCCTCAGATTCTGAACTTGTACAAATGACAAATCTTTTGAAATGGTTCTCATTCATTCATTCAATCAAGCAGCACTTTCCCTCTCTCTCCCTCCCCACCTTCTCCAGTGGCTGACATGGCCACACTGGCCCAGGAGACGTTGGACTGCCAAGCTGAACTCCTCTGTGGTGGCCTGGGCGGTCCCAACAGAGATCGGATCCTGCAGCACCTCATCACTGGACATCCCTTGCTCTTCCCGCATCCCAGGGACCGGGAGGGAGCAGGGCGGGGATGGTGAAGGGTGGGAACCAGGCCCACACCACAGTTTGTACCTTAACACAAGCTCCAGCTATGATGAGGATTTCAACCATGAACCGTGTCAAAAGAAAGGCCATAAGGCCCACTGGGCAGTGAGCGCAGGTGGGTCCACCCCACCTGTGTCCCCACAAGCTGCTCCCTAGAGCGCCCCGCCCACTCTTCACCCCAGTGGTCCTGTGTCTGCCCTGAGGGTGTGAACAAGGCCTGGGCCGCCTCTTTCCCCTGCTGTACTCAGCAGAAAGCCCGCAGGCACCAGGCCCCTCAAGCATCTCCCAGTTAGCGTTCCCACAGACAGGCGGGGCGAGGGGCTCTCATCTCTGGGCCTGTTGCCCAGGTGGAAATTGAGGAGGTGGGGTAGAGGTGTTGGCTTTCCTCACAGAAGCTCCTTGAGAGGGTCAGGGATACCTCTGGAAGGGAGAGCAGGGCAGCTGATGAGTCCATTAGTGATGGAGGAGGCTGCGGTGCAGTTTGTTCCTGTTGACCCGGAAGCAGAGAGCTCCACCCAGAAACGGAGAGTGGACTGTAACCCTGCACTTGGCTTCAGCCCCGCCCCCGTGGCCCACTCCTCCAGCAAGGCCCTCCCTCCTAAAGGTTCCCCCCTCCCAAAACAGTGCTGCCAACTGAACGCTTAACCCCAAGGGGGGCGCACACACCAACAGTAATCCAAGCTGCCTGACAGGCGTGTGACTCTACAGAACACGGTTGACACTGCGTGTGTCTGTGACCAGCACTCATTCGCATCTGCCCGCCTGTAAGAAGGGCGGATTTGTACACCAGGCCAGGACGGAGGCTCTGCCTGGCTTCCAGATGTGTCTGGCTCTGGGGGTGGGGGTCTTTCTGGGGGCAGCTGGAGATGTTGGGGTCTTTTTTTTTTTTTTTTTTTTTGGTTTTTACGAGACAGGGTTTCTCTGTATTGTTTTGGAGGCTGTCAGTCCAGCCCAGCCTCGAACTCACAGAGATCCGCCTGCCTCTGCCTCCCGAGTGCTGGGATTAAAGGCGTGCGCCACCAACGCCCGGCTTTTTTTTTTTTAAGATTTATTTATTTATTACATATACAGTGTTCTGCCTATATGCTGGAAGAGGGCACCAGATTGAATAATAGATGACTATGAGTCACCATGTGGTTGCTGGGAATTGAACTCAGGACCCCTGGAAGAGCAGTCAGTGCTCTTAACCTCTGAGCCATCTCTCCAGCAGATGTTGGGGTCTTAATTTCAATGCTGTTCCCACTTTCAATGTGCTGAAGAGACAGGACTTTGGATACCTGAGACTTTGGAGCCCGAGGCCCCTGCTCTGTACCCGGAGTCCTAACCTTGTGGCACAGGGGATTCAGGAGCCTTGGCATCTAGCTGTAACCCAGGCAACTCACATCCTCTTCCTGTCCCCCAGGGGTCCTCATAGGTGTGCGGAGTGTGCCAGACCCGGGCTACATGGAAGACTCTGAGTTGCCAGGCCTCTTCCACCCAGTGCCTGGTGCACCCCACCAGCCGCCATCCTTCCCAGAGGAAAGCTCCCCAGGTGCCATCTTCCTTCTCTCCAAGCAGGGCAAGAGTTGGCATTACCAGCTGTGGGACTACAACCAAGTCCGGGATAGCAACCTGCAGCTGACAGACTTCTCTCCTGCCAGGGCCGCCGATGGACGGGTGTACGTGGTACCTGCCGGTGGGGTACAGGCAGGCCTCTGTGGCCAGATCCTGCTGCTTAGACCGCAGGGGTGGAGCCATTAGCTGGGGCTGGGGCACCTGACTCCAAGTTATCTCCATCACCGTTAGCGTGCCTCACTTCATCCCGTGTGACGTCTGTCGTCCAGCCTGTATCTCGAGGACCTCCTGCTAGAAATCTATCATAAGATCACCCCATCTGTGGAGTCACAAGCGTGACCATTGACCAAAGTCTAAATTCATACTTGGGGACTGAGTCACAGCCTGTGGATCGGGACCCTTTCACAGGGTCTCCTAAGACCATTGGAAAACACAGAGATTTACATTATGATTCACAACAGCAAAATTACAGTCATGAAGTAGCAGCAAACATAAGTGCATGGCTGGTGGCCACCACACCATGAAACGCATTCGAAAGGTTGGGACTCACCGAGGGGGAATCTCTGAGTTCAGGACCATCATGGTCTACAAAGCAAACTCCATGCCAGCCAGGGCTGTATAGTGAGACCCTGTCTCAAAAAGCAAAAACAAAAAACAGGTCTCGCTGTGTAGCACTGATGACCTAGAACTCCCTATGTAGTAGACCAGGTTGACCCTAACCTCACAGAGATCTGCCTGACTTTGCTTCCCATATGCTGTGTGTTCCCCATGCCCCAGCCTAGAGGAAGACACTCTCTCTCTCTCTTTTTTTTTTAAGGACAGGGTTTCTATGTAACTTTGAAGCCTATCTTGGAACTCACTCCGTAAACCAGGCTGGCCTCAAACTCACAGAGATCCGCCTGCCTCTGCCTCCTGGGTGCTGGGGTTAAAGGTGTGTGCCACCACCGCCCTGCTGAGGAAGGCTTGATAGTAACTCAGATCCTAGTGGTGATCCTCCCACCTGAATGTGACATCTTCCAGGCCACTTTCAGTTCAGTGGACATCTAAAGAGCCTGGACCCCTGTTACCCATCTCCCTTCTCCTTGGCCTACTTAGACCATTCCTCACCTGCCTGACAGCCATGGCGGCCTTTCAGATACCAAGACTGTAGGTGCCAACAGCAGCCCTGAGCTGGGTGTGGTCTCTCTCCCTGAGCTGGGTGTGGTCTCTCTCCCTGACCTGAGTGTGCTCTCTCTCCCTGACCTGTGAGTGGTGGTCACTCTCCCTGAGCTGGTAAGATGGGCAAAGATGCTTGCCAATCCTGGTGACCCAGGGCCCCTGTAGCGGGGGAGAACTGAGTCCCACAGGTTGTCCCCTCCACGTGGTTGCTGTGGTGTGTGTGCATTCAACACAAACTCAAATATAATTTTAAAAAATTAAAGCTTGCCGGGCGTTGGTGGCGCACGCCTTTAATCCCAGCACTCGGGAGGCAGAGGCAGGCGGATCTCTGTGAGTTCCAGGCCAGCCTGGTCTACAGAGCGAGTTCCAGGACAGCCTCCAAAACAATACAGAGAAACCCTGTCTTGAAAAACAAAAAGAAAACAAAAAAAAAAATATTAAAGCTTATTTCCCCCAACTTCTCCATCTTGGCTCCAGTATCACACCCTCTTCAGAGTCCCCAGGACCGCTCTCCTTCCACACGAGAAGAGAGGAATGTGATGTGGGTTTTGTTATTTTTTTTAAAGATTTATTGTGTATAGTGTTTTGTCTACATGTATTCCCGCACACCAGAAGAGGGTGCCATATTTCACTAAGATGGCTGTGAGCCACCGTGTGGGTGCTGGGAATTGAACTCAGGACCTCTGGAAGAGCAGCCAATGTCCTTAACCTCTGAGCCAATTCTCTAGTGTGTTTTTTTTTAAGACAAGTCTGGTAATGTTATGCAGTCCAGGTTAGCCTGACATGCTACATCCTGGCCAAGGCTGGGATAGTGGTGCAGGTCTATAATCCCAGCACTTGGAGGGTAGAGGCCAGAGAATCAGATCAAGTTCATCATTGCTACATGACAAGTTCAGGGCCAGCGAGAGCTATCTATGTAAGACTCTTAAATCACATAGGAAGCAGTTGCCTCCTACTTCATTCATCCTAACGAATCAACCATACGGAAAATAATAGGTATCTGATAGACCCACACAGAAGAACAAGTCTAGGTCACTGTAGTGTTCCCAGCACCCAGGAAAAGATGACATTTTAGAGATGTGTGGTGTTGTATGCAGTGACCAGTGAGTGGGGTGGGCAGCAGCCAGTCTGAATCCTGACCCTGCTATCTGATTGGCACTGTTGTGGTTCACTGGACAGGAGCCTGGGCGCCCTGTATCTCTGCATGGTCTAGCCATAGAGCCAGGCCCAGGAGAACAGCAGTTCAAGCTAAGCATGGTGGCACATACCATCTCAGTATTCAAGAGGCTGAGTCAGGTGGGCGCGTCACGGCGAGTTTGAAGCAAGCCTGAGCTACATTGTGAGTACTAAGCAGGTTTGTGCTACAGAGCAAGACCCTGTCTCAAAACCAAAAGAAACTGAGCGTGGAGGCGCTGTAACCCAGCACCAGAGGGCCTCAAGTTCCAGACCAACCTAAGCTGCAGTGAGGCCTAATCTCAAAACAGGAAAGGGGGTTGGGAAGATGGCTCAGCAATTAGGACCACTCGATGCTCTTGCAGAGGACTGGAGTTTAGATCCCAGGACCCACTCCAGGCAGCTCAAAACCACCTGTAATGCCAGCTCTAGAGGCAGGGGTTCAATGCTGTCTTCCAGCCTCCTTAGGCACCTGAACACAAGTGACTAAAATACGCATACATACAAGTAAAAAAAATTTTTTTCGAGACAGGGTTTCTCTATGTTGTTTTGGAGCCTGTCCTGGAACCTACTCTGTAGACCAGGCTGTCCTCGAACTCACAGAGATCCGCCTGCCACTGCCTCCCGAGTGCTGGGATTAAAGGCGTGCGCCACCAACGCCCGGCCACAAGTACAACTCTTTTTTTCTTTTTTGTTTGCATGTGTGTCTTCATGGCAGGGTTTCTCTGTGTAGCTCTGACTGTCCTGGAACTCGCTCTGTAGACCAAGCTGGCCTCAGAGATCCGCCTGCCTCTGCCTCTTGAATGCTGGGATTAAATGTGTGCACCAACACTGCCCCGTGATAAATCTTTTTTTTTCAATCTAAACAAAAAAATAAATGCATTTCTGAGTCTTGAATGGGTGGGGAACCCCCTCAGCCTGCCTTACTCTCCCAAGGTGATCACTAACCCATTATCCCACCCAGCGTGAAGGCCCAGAGTATGACTCTCGGCCCACATATCCAGATGCCAAGAAAATACCCACAGCATTGACTTTGTCCTGTTTATTGGGGTGTCACTGTGGGCGGGAGGCACAATAAAGCCACTTTACCTCGATTTCCCTGGCACCACCCCCAGCTAACTACCTCGTATATAAATATATATAAAGTCAGTCAGTAGAAAAGGAAGACGTGGGCCCTGGAAGACCATAGGGCCTAGGGAAGAGGTAGGTTCCTGCCCTCACCAGGAAGCCAAGGTTCTAGAGAGGTGCTGGAGCATGGGGACAGCAGCTTCTGCCCCATTCCAGAGTCCCAGAGTCTTTGGTTAGAACTAGGTGGTCCGTCCATGGTTAGGGCCAGAAGCCCCACCCACTTGTGCTTCCGGGCAACCTGGCAGTGCATTCTGCGTGTGGGTGGGGGGCACTTACAGAGCGAGCGAGGCAGCTCCTGTTCCCAAGAAGCCTCCTCCCCTGCCTCGGAAACGCCTTCTTGCCACTGGACTCTACTGAGACAGGAGAGCCCTGGTGTCAGGGGCAGAAGGAGGAAGTCCTGAGGCTGCAGCCGGTGCACCAAGGAAGGAAGGAAGGTGGTCACAGTGCTGGCACAGGTGGCTGCCTGTGGTCTGGCTCTGCAGCAGCTAGAAGAGTCCACGGAGGAACACAGAGGCCTGGGGGGGGGGGCGCGAGCTGTGCTCCCACAGTGGCAGCAGGCCCTGGGCGGTGTCGTCACACCCTTCTCTCGGCACGTAGGTGGCCTCCAGTGGGGCTGTCACTGCCCCAGGCGGACAAGTAGCTCCTTTAGGTCTTCACAACCGATGCCTGATCCTCCGGGGGACAGAAGCCAACCTGCTGAGGCTCTGGGTGCAGGACGCCAGCTCGGGGAGGGAGGGGTTCTTCCAGCATGGCCTCTGGCACTCCCTTGGCTGATCAGGATGCCCCATTCGTGTTGTGCCAACTCTATAGCTCTACCTGTCTGTTCCCCGTATCAGTAAGGGAGCCCAGTGCTGCCAGGTCCCCAGAGCTCCTCAGGCCACACTGGTCGGATGGCCCCTTGAAGCACCTCGTCTTCCATCAGCGGCAGGCCCGACGGCGTCTTAGGGCTCCTCAAGCCAGAGGCCTGCTACCTAGCAGCATCAGCAGCAGCAGATGAGATCAGCTCTGGGCCAGCCCCTGAAGGAGGCGGATCAGATTGTCCAGACCCCAGAGGTAGCCATCCTCGCGGTTGCCCTCAGCCCAAGGCAGCCTGTGACTGAGCATTTGGTGGTCAGGCAGGGCCACTGTCTTGCCGAAGTCAATCATCCAGACCTTGGCCAGGCCGGTGTGGTCATGCACAAAGAGAAGGGAACTGCCCACTACCTGCAGCAGCCGGTGAGAGAGAGAAACGGTTAGAGAGATGCAGGCACGAGCCAGTGAGTCCCCAGTGAGCAGAGACCCCAACGAGGCTGCCCACGTTCAAATCCTCTCCCAACTACTTCTGAGCTGTGCAGCCTCAGGCAAGCGTTTCACCCTCTCTGTGGCTCTGCTCCCACATACACAAACTGAGGATAATTGTATAATTTACTCACATAAAGCATTTCAAGTGGTTCCCAGAACACAACAAATACACAGTGTTACCAGTTACCGTGTGCGCACGCGTGCGTGCGTGCGTGCGTGCGTGCGTGTGTGTGTGTGTGTGTGTGTGTGTGTGTGTGTTTCCTCTCTCTTTCTTGTTTGGCTGCCAGGGTCTTATGTAGTCCCAGATGGCCTTGCCCTATCTCCACAGCCAGGAATGCCCCTGAACTCCAGAACCTCCTGCCTTCACCTCCCTTGCGCTGGCCTGAACTCCCAGCCCGACTGCTTCCTCCTCTAAGGTGCTAGAACAATGTGAGCCCGCACACTGGGCTATTTGCTGGCATGGTTTTTAAGTCACAGCACAAACTCAAATGTCGTCAAAATTGTGACTGGGTCAGCGGACTCAAGAACTGGAAAACTTTCTCCAGAATAGGGCAGTGGCTTCTTAAGCCTAGTGGACTGTGGCTGATGACGTTAGGCAAGTGGCTTCCTTCCTTTGGCCTTGGTGTCCTGTCTGTAGAATGGGGAAGTTGGTAGCACTCTGCCTCCTGGGGTCACAGAACCCTATAAGCCACAGGCTCATAAAATGCCTCCCAGCGTCTGCCTCAGGACACCTCAGTGGGTATTGTCAGTGGCACTTCAGTTTAACTGTTTTTGTCTGTCTCGTTGGTTGGTTTTCTGAGACAGGGTTTCTCTGTGGCTTTGGAGGCTGTCCTGGAACTCGCTCTGTAGACCAGGCTGGTCTCGAACTCAAAGAGATCCGCCTGCCTCTGCCTCCTGTCTCTTGTTTTAGAGACAGTTATTGCTGAGCAGGTGTGGTGATACCATGTCCACAATCTAAGCATTTGGGAGGCAGATACAGAAGAACAGTCACAAATCTGAGGTAAACCTGGGCTATGTGGTGAGTTCCAGGCCTATCAAAGCTACAGAGTAAACCTGTCTCAAAGGGAGGGGGGGGCTCACTAAGTCAGTCACGGTGACACACGCCTTTAATCCCATCACTCAGGAGGCAGAGGCAGGTGGATGTCTATGAGTTTAAGGCCAGCCTGGGCTACAAAATGAAACTCAATCTCAAAACCAAATGGCTTGGTGAGACGGCTCAAATAATAAAGGCACTCGCCACTAACCCTGATGACCTAACTTCAGTTCCTGGGACCCACATGGCAGGAGAGAAATGACTCCCACAGGCTGTTCTGACCTCCACAAGAGTACCGTGTCACAAAAACGCCCCATCCAACATTCACGTGCGCTAAATACAATTCTGAAAATAACACATCAGGCAGCTACTCTTTCTGACAAAAACTGTGGTTTTACAACGCCCCCTCCATCTGTCTTAAGCCAGGTTTCGACTCCGCCCTGCTCCCAGACCCCGGTTCCTGACCAGGTGAACAGGAGCCTGCATGAAGGACCATAAGCTGCCAGGCCTTCATCTTAGCTACTTGGGAAGCTGAGGCAGGAAGCCTGGAAGTTGTAGCTTCGACTACACAGTGAGCTCAAGGGTAGCCTGGGCAATCTAAATCCTAAAAGAGGCTAACCTAGTCTACACAGAGTTCCAGACTAGCCAAAGACCCTGTCTTTAAAAAGAGAAAAAGATGAAAAGTTGGGGCTACATCCCAGTTGGTAGTGTCGCCCCCAGGCATGGTGACACACACCCATCACCCACACTCAGCAGGCGGAGGCAGACAGATCACAAGTGCAGGCCATCCTCAGCTACACAGCACACCCAGGTCAGCCTGGCTACACTAAAACAGTGCAGGTGAGGCTGGACTGTAGCTCAATGGTAGAGCAATTGCCTGGAAGACATGAGAGCCTGGGTTCAAATCCCCAGTGCCAAACAGGAAAGAGGGGCAGACACCAGGCGTACCTGGATGCTCTTGCCATATGCCTAGCGTCCAGGACTGCTATGTCTCTTCAACTGTCAGGGAAATGGGAAATGCTGCTTTCTATGTGAAATTTCGTATCTCAAATGGAAGCAAGACACTAGGCCAGCAAATCCAGACACAAGGAGAGGAGAGGCCTCTCCTCCCACATAAAGCCTGAAGATAGTAGCAGGGACAATGGTGACATTTGACCAAACAAACATGACGATGACAGCTGGCACTCATGTGGCTTACCCTGGGCGGGGCTCTAATCTATTAGCCTATTTAACCTTCATCAGTGCCCAAGTGACTGCTGCTGCCACTCACACGCCAGGTGCCAGGGACCCTGCGGCCTCCCCGGGGTGGCCACCTGGGTTTAGGGGGCTGAGGAGGAGCAGAGCTGCGACTGAGACGTGTACAGGCAAGACGTCCAGCTCAGGGCTGCAGAGAAGAGGGGAAGGGGCCGAGGGGCAGAAGGAAGGGCGTGGAGAAGAGACATCACTTCTCTGACTCGCAAACAGTCTCTGAGGAACCCAGTCGCCTAAGAGTCACGGTGACAACAAGCATAGTGGCACACTATAATATGACCCTAGCACTGGTGACCGCTGAGGTAAGATCAGGAGTTCTAGGCCAGCCTAGGCAACACAGCAAGTTCAAGGCCAACCTGGGTTATGTGAAACCTACAAAACAAATCGAAACCCCCGGTGGTCTGTCAAGATGGTGCAGGGAGCTAGGGCACTTGCTGCCAAGCTTGGTGACCTGAGTTTGCTCTCTAGGACCCACAGACTCTACCCACCCACCAAGGGAGGCCCTTAGAGACATACCATTACAGTCACACATTGATTCTAAGAACCCGGAGTAACAATGCCTCTGTATGCCCCAGAGGTCACTGTCCAGTGACCGGCAATGCCCTAGGAGTGTGGTATTACCACCCCCGCCCTTGTCGGAGCACAGGAAACTGCCTGGGTGGGTCTGGGTGGGGCAGGCCGGGCATGATGATGGTCCCTGCAATCCCTGCTGTGGGAGGCTGAGGCAGGAAAACTGTGAGGGTGAGGCCACCCTGGGCTATATGTGACTGTGTATCAAAAAAAACCAGGCCTCTCTCCCAAAGAAAAAAACAACAAGGATTGGGGGTGTGCTCAGCACAGTGATTGAGACACCCTGGTTGTGACTCCCAGCCCTAGAAATAAAAGGAAACGGAGGGGAATCCGAAGTCCTTGTCTCCAGACTGCCTGGCTTGAATGCACGCTCCCATTCACTCCCTCCCTCCCTTCCGACCCCCCCCCATACACCTCTGGCACCCAGGGCTCGCACCTCATGGGTCTTGAAGAAGGGAGAGTTTTCCAAGGCCTCTCGGAGATCCTCGAGTCGCGCCACGTACTTTCTCTGCGTGTGAGAGGGAGGGTGGGTCGTTAGCACAGAAATGCAGCAAGCCTTGGTGAGCCGCCTTGAAATGAGACCTCACCCCGTCATCCAGCGAAGTCAGTCAAGATGAGGTAAGGGGAGCCAAGGACGCGGAGGAGTGAGGGAGCTCTGGCATGAAGGTGTGCACACAGAGTGATCCCCACCAACCCCCACAGTTCCCCCATGAGAGGGGGAGTCAGGTCCCCCTCCCCCTGAGCTGGGTGGGCTTGGTCTCATGATAGGACCCGTCCTGCCCACCAGAATGTGGCCATGTTAAGACACCGGGGGCCTCATAGGGAACACTTGCTATCTTAGCTTCCTGTTCCCCTGGTGAGAACAGCGCGAGCTAGCCGCTACACTCAACAGACCCAAGGCTGTGAACCAAGGCTGCAGACATAAAAGCCATGCTGGCTGGGACCAGTGACGGCAGACAGTGAGAAAGGCCGGCCAGGTTCAGCCCAGCCCAAAGCAAAGAAGCATGCCTCCGAAGCAGCAGCAAGCCACCACTGCTGTCTTCCGTGGCTGCGTGTTAGGACTGGGACTCCCACTTACCAGGATTCCAAGGTCCCCATCTACAAAGTCTTCCAACACCTTCGTCACCTGCTCCAGCGCTTGTGTCTTCTTGAAGTTGGTGTTGCAGGTCCCATCGGCTTTCTGCAAAGCAAGATGTAGAGTGCTGTCCCGCGTGCTGCCTCACCCCCAACCTAGATGACCCCTGTTCAGGAGACATGGTCCCCCTGACTGGCCAACTCAACCCCACCCCGCCACACCTAACAGCACAGTCATGGCTGAGCCCATCTTGCAAAACAAGCCGTTTCTGCTACTGTCTAGCAGAGTGGGCTTAAGCGAGTCCATCCCTTTTAGGGACAGGTCCTGTGTTTCTGAAGCTGACTGAGAATCTCCCTACATAGCTAAAGCTGGGCTTGAACTCCTGAACCTCCTGCCTCCTTCTCCCAGGGTACTATGCCACTCAGCTTAAACAAGCCCTACTCTGAGTCTCAGCCTCAGCCGCCTCACCTGCGGGTCCCTACTTCCTAGAGCTGTGCCAGGGTTCCCTGAGACGGGGCACGGAGGACTCGGGCCCACAAACTAAACGAGCAAACGTTCTTTATGCTGACTTCACACTCCTGATCCCTTGCTTCGACTTCCCAAGTGCTGGGAATACAGACATGAGCCACCACACCTGGCCTTCTGACTTATTGACTATGTGATTACTCACTCAATTATTCAAACAGATGTGGGGTGGGGATCCTGAACCAGGGGTCTCCCGCATGTATGCTAGGCAAGTGCTCTATTACTAGGCCACAGCTCCAGGCTTTACTTAGCTGTTTTATTTGTTTGTTTAGCGCCACTGAGAATTGAACCTAGGGCCTCACACGTGCTCACAAGTCTTCCAACACTGAGCTACATCCCCCAGGTCTGTTTTTTCTTTTTATGACAAAGTGTCTCTAAGTTGCCCAGGCTGGTCCTGAACTTACTCTGTAACTCAGATTGAAGCTGCGATCCTCCTGCCTTAACCTCTCCATGGGGATGAAAGGTGTAAGCCACCACGTTCAGCTTTCCAAGTACATTTAATTTATGAAATGAAAACTTGAAAAAGAGGCGGGCGGTGGTGGTGCACACCTTTAACCCCAGCACTTGAGAGGCAGAGGCTGGCAGGTCTCTGTGAGTTCGAAACCAGCCTGGTATACGGAGCTGTTCCAGGACAGCCTCCAAAACAATACAGAGAAACCCTGTCTCGAAAAAACAAACAAATAAATAAAAACTTGAAAAAAATCCTTCCGGTCACCGCATTCCATGATGGAGGGGAGAGGATCAGGTTTGGGAGGCCGGGGAGGCTGGGACAGAGAAAAGGCTGGATTTGGGGAATGAGAAGCTGGTGTATGACCATGTCCCAGTAGACAAAGAACGCTTGCCTCCGCCAGACACAGGGTGGGGAGTGGAGCCGTCCCCAGACCAGGCTGTGTGACTCTGAAGATGTGGGTCACCCCCGCTCCACAAGAAGCCCGTCCACCGTTCCAGTCCCCGACCTCTGCGTCTCAAACACACCGGCTGGCTCCTAGCCCTCACCTTGATGCCTTCTATCCGGAAGCCCAGGGTGGAAGTTGAGCTCAGGGTCTCCCTCCACTGCATGTATCGGGGCTTGGTGACGGCGCCCTGAGCGTGCTCCTCAGGAGTGGGGGCTCCGGGGTCCACGGCCACCATCTTCTCATACATATCCTTCCGGGGCCTGGGCCGTTCTCGTGCCTTCACCAGCTCCTCTTCCAAGTAGGTCCTGAGCACAGGGGATGTGACAAAGGGAACCATTAAGCCCAGAGCTGGAAGGCTCACACTTCCTGATGGGGGCGGAGGTGTAGGCCTTTGAGTCCAGCACTTGGAGGCAGAGGCTGGTGGATCTGTGAGCGTTAAACAGAGCTAAATAGCGAGACTCTCTCAAAACAACAGGACAAACAAAAAACCCAGTAAACTACAGGAGTTAAAACAACAGAGCTTATAGAAGAAAACAAAAGAATAGTTTCATGCTATTACAGCAGGCAAAGATTTTTCCAAACACAAGGCCATTAGCAACGGCAATACCAAAACAACGTCTGACAAAACAGAAAGGACGTCTGCCTGTTGGTTCTTGGCTGCCACTTAATCTAAAATACTTGGACCAGGGACTGGAGAGGTGGCTGGGTGGTTAAGCGCACCCTGCCCTTTCGGATGACCTAAGTTCCAGCCCCACAAGTGGCTTGCAAGAGTGTGCAGCTCCAGTCCCAGGGGACCTAACACCTTCTCCTGGCCTCCTTGGACTTAAGGCACAACATCCACACACATAATTAAAAAACATCCCCAGCGCCCACAAGGCAGTCTACAACTGTCTGTAACTCCAGTTCCAGAGGATGTGATACCCTCTTTGGACTCCTTGGGCACTAGGTACACACATGTGCAGGCATGTATCAGCAAAACACCCTACACATAAAGTTAAAAATAAATAAAAGGAAAATTCAAATGAATAAAAATACTTGGAACCAAAAGTGCTTCTGATTTTAAAGTTTTCAGGTTTTTAAAAACATGTATTTTTTTTACTGACAGAGGGAACAGGCTTATGCAGCGGTAAGGGGACAGTTTTCAGGGGCCGGCTGTTTGTTCACCTACAGTTCATGGGGGTAGAACTCAGGTTGTCATGTTGGGAGGGTAGCATGTACCCAATAAGCTGTCTCACTGACCCCAGATTTTTCTTATTTAGTTTAATTTCAAGACAGGGTCTCATGTGTAGCCCTCCTGGCCTGGAACTCACTGAATGGACCAGGCTGACCTCAAATTCATAGAGATCCAACTGCCTCTGCCTCCCGAGAGCTGGAATTAAAGGTGAGACTATTATCTTTATTTACTTTGTTATACATATGTGTGAGTCTGTGTGGATATATGGACATCATGTGCATAAAGGAGCCCTCGGAAGCCAGCAGCAGGCATTAGGTTCCCTTGGGACTCATCTCTCCAGCCACAGAATCATTTTAAAGAGGAAACAATGGTGATTTATCACGAGAAAGCGAGGAAACCTGCAGACCGGGAGAGGGTCCAGGAAAGAATAACAGAGCTGTTCTTTTTGTTGTCGTTGTTGTTATTTAGAGTTGTCTAAAGGTATTAAGAGGGTGAAACAGCAATTGCAGGGACGTGGGTTTGGTCCTCAGTTCCAGGGAAGAGAGAGACAGAAAGTGAAATGGGAAAGTTAGAAAATACACACATATCACCGTGTGTGTATGTGTGTGTGTGTGTGTGTGTGTGTGTGTGTGTGTGAGAGAGAGAGAGAGAGAGAGAGAGAGAGAGAGAGAGAGAGAGAGAGAGAGAGAGAGAGAGAGAGAGAGAGAGAAAGAATGGGGCCTGGGACTTGTGGTGGTTTGAAAGAAAATGGCCCCCAAAGGGAGTGGCACTTTTAGGAGGCGTGGCCTTGTTGGAGGAAGTGTCTCACTGTGAAGGCAGGCTTTGAGTTCTCCTATGCTCAAGCTACTCCCAGTGCCACAGCTGACTTCCTGTTGCCTGTGGATCAGGATGCTGCCAGGCTCCCCATGATGATGATGATGGACTGGACCCTGAAACTGTAAGTGAGCCGCCACAATCAAATGTTCTCCTTTGTATAAACCTAACTGAGATGCTGGTGTAGATTTACAGCGGTAACACCACACTTATGAGGGAGAGGCAAGAGGACTGTCATAAGTCTGAGACTAGCTGGGTCTACATACTGAATTCTACACCAGCCACGGCTATACAGCAGATCCTGTCTGAAAAACAAACAAGACCCAGCTGCAGATGTAGCTCAGTGATGCAGCGACCAGGACTTGCCTGGCACGTACAAAGTCTACATTCAACTCCCAGCACCAACATAAAATAAAAAAGAACAGTACTGACGGAGTAGCCACTACCACCAAAGCAAGTCCTTAACTCTAGGAACTGGAAATTAAATAAGGAAGTAAAACTGGCTTAGGGGCTGGGAATGTGGCTCAGTTGGCAGACTAACAGCCTAGCACGCATAAGGCCCTCAGAGTTTGTCTGTAGTCATCACACTAGGGAGGTGAAGATTGGAGGACCTGACACTCAAGGCTACCCTTGACTGCATAGCCAGGTTGAGACCACCCTGGGTTACAGGAGCTTCGCAAAAAGAAACGAAACAAAAACAACAAACAAACAAACAAAAGCAAACACATTGAAATTCCATTATACACTCAGTAGTATAAATTAATGAAACAAGTGATACAAAGACAGAACAAGAATACCAAGAAGGAACAGTAGGCCTGCCACCCGGGACCCTCACAGCGGGTGGCACATCTGGGACCCTCAGAGCCGGTGGCACACCTCGAGCCCTCATGCACCACTGGCGCACAACGATGCAGGTTCTTTGAGCTGACTTGGCCATATTTTCAAACCGTCCCCCTCCTACCCTGGTTGTCCCATGGCTGCCCCAGTCCCACCTGCTGCCCATCTTGCAGTCCATGATAGAGGGGCCCTCAAAGTCTGCCAGGAGGTCTTCCATCTGGTTGAAGGCCTGCCCATCCCGGTGCACCATGCCGTAATAGGCAGGCACGAAAGGCCGCAGGGGGTCCTCCATCAGCTGCTCCAGGCTGCGCTGCTCACATTGACAGAAACGTTTCAGAATCCGGCCATCCTCGCCGGCCTGGAAGTTTCCTGGGGAAACAAGACCGAGGAGAGACCGCATCAGATCGAGACCTGCCACTCGCTACCTCGCTGTACGCACCACACCAGCCACCGCCATCTTGATGGGCTCTCCAGCAGCGGCCTCTCCCCCCCCCCCTTCTGGTGTGTTGCTTTGAGACAGGGGCACTGTGTTGTTTGTTCTGAGACAGCTGGCCTTGAACTCATCAATCCCAGAAATTAGAAGAAGGTTTAGGCAGGAAGACTGACACAAGTTTGAGCCCAGTTTAGAATACACGGTGAATTCAAGGCAAGCCTGGGCTTCACAGCAAGACTCCAGGATTTAAATAAATAAATAAATTTCACAATTCTGGTATTATCTGGAGTACATAAATGGCTAAGGTAGAAATCCAAGCTACTTTTTGTTTTTAAGGCAAAAGTGATATTTTGTTTTGCTTTGTTGACATAAGGTCTTGCTCTGCAGCCCAGGCTGGCCTCTAACTGGGCAATGCCCCTCCTCAGCTGCCCAAGTGCTGGAATTATAAATATGTGCCAAACCAGTCACGGTGGTGCAATCTTTTAATCCCAGCACTTGGGAGGCAGAAGCAGGCGGATCTCTGTGAGTGTAAAGCCAGCCTGGTCTACAGAGCGAGTTCCAGGCCAGCCAGAGCTATACAGTGAGATCCTGTCTCGAACAAGCAAATAACAGCAAAATAAATGCGTGCTACCATGCTTAGCTGTCAGCTTCTATTCTCCAAAGATGGTGGCAGCAGTGTTTTCTGTGCCACCTAAGTATTTGCTGTGTGCCTAGACACACAGAGGCCATGCAGCTTTGGTCTGAGGGTCTGCTGTGCACGAGACATAGGAGGGTTCAGGGACCCATCCCAGTTTCTACTCTCCCAACGTTGTGCTCTTAACTTCAGTCAACCCCGCAAAGGTGGCAAGATTTGGTCTGTATTAAAGAGGGGAACTGAGTCGCCGGAAGGGAAAGCACAAGCCTGTCTAGGGTCACCCCAAACAAGGAGCAGAAGTAGGACGTTAATCAGTACCCGTCCACTCTAAACTGAGCCTCAACCAACCAACAGAATGAATGCTAAGGAACCATTTCTACCAGACCTAACAGTTACTAGGCTAGCCAAGCGTGGTTGCACGCCTTTGATCCCAGCACTCAAGAGGCAGAGACAGGTGGACCTCTGTGAGTTCAAGGCCTGCCTGGTCTATAGAATGAATTCTAGGCCAGCAAGGACTACACACACCCTGTCTCAAAATAAATAAAATAATTACTAGGCCAAATGTTTCTCATAGCAGTCCCATAGTGGCTATCACCCAGCCTCTAGGAAGAGCAGTGAAATTTACAGAGCAGCGCTTTCCCTAGTCCACACACCCATGCCAACTCCTGTCCGTCCACCAATTCCACTACACGCCCATGCCCAGTCCTGACTGTCCATGGTTCCCCCAATCTCACCAGTGTCCGTCTGTCCACGGTGTCCCCTGGCCTCACCAGTGTCTGTCTGTCCATGGTGTCCCCCAGTCTCACCAGCGTCTGTCTGTCCAGCGTTTCCCCAGCCCAGCATCTGTCTGTCCAGTGTTCCCCCAGCCCACTGTCTGTCTGTCCATGGTTCCTGCCAGCCCAGCGTCTGTCTGTCCAGTGTTCCCCCAGCATCACCAGCGTCTGTCTGTCCAGTGTTCCCCCAGCATCACCAGCGTCTGTCTGTCCAGCGTTTCCCCAGCCCAGCGTCTGTCTGTCCAGTGTTCCCCCAGCCCACTGTCTGTCTGTCCAGCGTTTCCCCAGCCCAGCGTCTGTCTGTCCATGGTTCCCGCCAGCCCAGCATCTGTCTGTCCAGTGTTCCCCCAGCATCACCAGCGTCTGTCTGTCCAGCGTTTCCCCCAGCCCAGCGTCTGTCTGTCCAGTGTTCCCCCAGCCTCACCAGTGTCTGTCTGTCCACCGTTTCCCCCAGCCCAGTGTCTGTCTGTCCAGTGTTCCCGCCAGCCCAGCATCTGTCTGTCCAGTGTTCCCCCAGCATCACCAGCGTCTGTCTGTCCAGCGTTTCCCCCAGCCCAGCGTCTGTCTGTCCAGTGTTCCCCCAGCCTCACCAGTGTCTGTCTGTCCTGTGTTTCCCCCAGCCCACTGTCTGTCTGTCCAGTGTTCCCCCAGCCTCACCAGCATGTCCGGAAAGCTGGACCCAGGGGTAGTGGTGCTTATGGAAGGAGACCACGAAGGGCGAGTACTTCAGAACTGACTTCAGCTTCTTCCAGGGCTTGCTCTGTAGGGAGGGTGAGCATGAGGGTGAGCAGGGTCAGACAGGGTTACTGTCCTGGGGCTTCATGGGATCATGGTCCCCAAGCTTATCGGGGTTATCAAACCTCACTACTTAGTCCAGCGATCATGAGACCACCCGGTGGGAAGAGTCTGCCTCTATTACTTTCTTTGTTGTCTCTGTGTCTTTGTCACATGAGGAAGGATAGGCGAGGCTAGGTTTGGTTACTGATGCAACCACCACAATTCATGCACCCTAAAACCTAATCACCAAATGGGAAGCCAAGCCTCTCTGCCTCTAAATAAAGTCAGATCTGGAACAAACCACAGAGGCAGGAGTGGAGGAATGGAGAGAGAGAGAGAGAGAGAGAGAGAGAGAGAGAGAGAGAGAGAGAGAGAGAGAGAGAGAGAGAGAGAGAGAGAGAGAGAGAGATGACGAACGTGATGGAGGCCAATCACAGAGAGAGACAGATGACAAAAATGGAGGAGGCCATCAGAGTGCTGGTCACCAAGGGCTCTGGCTTGTCCCCTTCCTGACAGATCCTTGTCTTCTGTTTAGTTTTTTTCTTTTCCTTTACTTTTATTTTATTAGTGTCTTGCCTGTCTGTATGTATGTGTGAGGGTGTTGGGTCCTGGAGTTACACACAGGTGTGAGCTGCCACGTGGGTGCTGGGAACTGAACCTGGATCCTCTGGAAGAGCAGTCAGAGCTCTTAACCTCTGAGCCATCTCCCCAGCCCCTGGTCCTCCTGAACTGAGGTTACTGGCTCGTGGTGCCAGTGAAGTGTGACTGCAAGTGTGACTTCCAGGGGGAGCGCAGAGCCCACTCAGATGCTCCATGCTCAGCTCCATACTGGAGGCAGGAGCTGGGCAAGGGAACGGGCCACGGCCCCTAAGGGGGACGGCACAGAGCAGAAGCCCCAGCCCACAACCACAGCTAACTCACGTAGTATGGACAAGAGTAAACTTTGGCTGTTGCTCTAAGTCATTCAGACTTGGGGGCAATTTGTTACTAGAGCAGATCTTTATAAAAATATCTAGACTTATTTATATTCATCAGAGTTTTACCTACATGTACGTGTGTGAACCATATGCATGCCTGGGGCCCATCCATGGAGGTCAGAAGAAGACACTGGCCTGAAGCTGGAGTTTATGGATGGTTGTACACCACCGTGTGACAGCTGGGGACTGAACTCAGGTCCTCTGAACCCCAATACAGAAGACCTTTGTCTACTTTGACCTTAAGTACAGGGGGCTAGAGAGATGGCTCAGACATTGAATGTGTACTGTTCTTACAAAGGACCCCAATTACCCACACTGGATACCCCCTAGGGCAGTTCACAGCCGCCTGTAACTCCTCCAGAGGATCTGACACCCTTTTCTGGTCTCCATAGGCACTAAACTCATGCGCAACCTCCACCCCTAGATACACGATTGAAAAAAATAAAATCTCATGCAGGGCACTTGGCAGTCAAATTTTCTGAATTCAAGGCCAGCCTGGTCTGCATATCCAAGCTGTCCAGAGTGACATAGCGAGACCCTGCCTCAAAATAAATAAATGTAAAATATTAATTTATTTTGTTTTATTTTTTAAGGCAGGGCTTCTCTGTGCAGTGTCCTAGATCTATGTAGACCAGGCTGGCCTTGAACTCATGACGATTGCTCACCTCCGTATTCTCAGTGTTGGGATTACAGGCGTGCACCACTACACCAACCTGAGACCCTGGTTCAGAATAACAAAAACTAGGCCCAGCAAAAGAGCTGGGGCGGGGGTGCTTGCTGACAAACCGAAGACTTCGGTTCAACCCCCAGAACCCACACAGTGGAAGGGAGAACCAACTCCCAGAAGCCTTAATCCAACCTGCACACGATGAATGCAATGAACAAAAAAAGACTACAGAAGAATGGTGGAAAGAAAACACAGACGGAAGGAAGGGGAAAGAGGCGGGCGGGGGTGGAGGGAGTGGGAGAGAAAACCAGAGCAGGGGTGAGGACACGCAGCAACACAGGGCTCCAGGCCTGTCCCCAGCACCGCTCAAAGGGAACATACGCGGGCAGGCTTCAGTCAGTGGGACCATGGTGCTTCACAACCGACCCAGATGTGTGTGTGCTTGCACACATGTCTGTGCTGGCCCGAGGTGGCCCTCAGCGTGAACTGGGAGAGGAGGTCCTCCTCAGGGAAGGAAGCTGTGTGCCGACCCTGCATCGCCCCCAGGGTCAAGGGCATGTTTTCTCCCAGCTCTCCAGCAGATCGCAAACTGGAGGGAGCCCGGCGCTAAGCAGGGAGTCAGGGTGTAGGACAGCATGGGATCCAGGAAGGGCTATTTTCTCCCAGGGGAGGAGATGATTAATCAAGGTTCCTGTTTACCGAGCACCTGGAACATTCCAGGCACCATGACAAAGACTCTGTGTGCCAGACCCTGTTTAATCCTAAAAACAGCCCCAGGAAGCTTGCTGTCTGTGTCACAGGGGAGGAAACAGACTCAGAGGTGAAGCCACTGGCCTAACGTCACCCGCACCCGGCACAGAGCTGGGTTTCTGGCTCCACTCTGACCCCATTGCCCTGGGGCTTACCTGCTGCACTCCAGCTGGACAGAAGCTTAGGGGAGGAGGGAGGGCTGCTGGGTTACAAGTGTGTCTCCAGCACCTGGTGTGACACAGCAGGTGTCTCAGAAACACTGCTTGGAAAAGAGTCTGTCTTTTTATTATCATAAACATGCGGTATCCTGTTTCTCTCTCTGTCTTGTTCACTAGTACTGGAGATGGAATCCCAGACCTCCTACATGCTAGGCACAAGCTCATCCACAAGTGCTGTACCACCGTCATACCCCCACTGGGGGATTCTAGGCTGGGGCTCCATCACTGAGCCACGCCCCCAGCCCCTCACTGGGAGATTCTAGGCAGATGCTCTACCACCGAGCCACGCCCCCAGCCCCTCACTGGGAGATTCTAGGCAGGGGCTCTACCAGTGAGCCACACCCCCAGGCCTTTTTCTTTTAAGTACATCTTAATCAGGGCTCTTTAGAAACAGTTTATCACGGTATTGGATCGCACGCCCTGTCCTCCCGGGAGCCTTCTTCTGATTCATCCTGCCCTGTTGCTAGTGTCTGGAGATCCATCTGTGTCTTGAGGGAGGCAGCTCCCTGTGAATTCAAGGTCACTCTGGTCTATGTGGGCATTCCAGGCCAGATTACATGGTGTGTGACTGTGTTAAACCTGAGAGTCATGAGGATAATGTTTTGGTCTCACATTTGTCTCAGAAGATTAAAAACAAAAGGGGGGGGGGCTATTTTGATCATCAGTGTCCCCAGCAGCACAGCATAATTATTATCTATTTAGAACAGGATGGGGAAAAGGAAGGCTAGTTAGGATTGGGAGTTCAAGGTCACCTTCAGCTCCACAGTGGAGTTCAAGGCCAGCCTGAGCTATGAGACCTTGTTTTAAAAACAAACAAGGGTGGGTGGGGGTGGGGGAACATAGTTGGGACACTATGATCAGATGTAATTTCAAAATTAAGGAGAAGGAAGCAGGAAGGCAACGATGGGGGACAGCGTGCACTTGGGGTGAGCAGCAGGACGTTAGGACAGCAGAGGGTGACCATCTGAAGACAGGGGGTTCTGACATAGCCTTGAACTCCCAACGGCTTCATTGGCAGAGTCAGGGACCTTCTGGAAAGACGAAGAATTTGAGAGGCCTTAGGAATAAGGCGAGATGGAGACAGCCAAAGGGGCTAACGTGAAAAGCTCGGAACTCAGCTAGAAATAAGTAAGAACTTGTGGGTTTTGACTTGACTTAGACAATGCTAAACACAAGATGCCTTTCTGTGCCTCAGTTTCCCCATCTACAAAACAGAGAGAAGAATGCTCACCTCCCAGGACGGCTGGGACCCAGCGGCACACACCACTAGGGCTGCAGAAGGGGGGGGAGGACTAAGAGTTCCAGGCTATCCTAGGCTGCACAGTGAGACCCAGTGTCAAAACAAATGGGAATAGAAGGGGGGGGGGGGAGGGAGAACAGGCAAGGAAGCACTGTGTACAGCTCGTAATCCCAGCGACTCGGGAGGCTGACAGAGGTAGGAGGATGGTAAATTCAGGCCTACCAGGGACACACACCAAGTTCAAGGCCTGGTAACATGCGAAAACCCTGCCTCAAAATAAAGACTGAAAAGAGGACTAAGAACTTAGCTCAGTGGGATAGTGCCTGCCTAGCACGCACAAGGTCCTAGGGTCATTCAATTCCTCAGGGTCACTCTCACACACTCACTCACACACACCAGGGACCAGGAGATGGCTCAGCAGATAAAAATGTCCTTGCTGCCAAGCCAGACGGCCTGAGTTCGATCCCTGGGTCCCATGCAGTAAAAGGAGAAATAACTTCCCCAAGGTGTCTGGTGACCTTCATGTGCATGCTGTAGCACACAAGTATCTGCACACTAAACAGACACAGATAAATAATAAATAAATGAAACAAAACACCAAAGCAAAGAGGCATAAAGTACTTTGAGCTGGGCACGGTAGAGCATTCAAGAGGCTAAGGCAAGAGTACCGACTTAAGTTCAAGACCAGGCAGGGCTGTATCTATAGAGCAAGTTCCAGACCTGTCTGTACTAAAGTGACTCATGCCTTTAATTAACCCCAGCACTCTGGAGGCAGAGGCAGGCGGATCTCTGTGAGTTCGAGGCCAGCCTGGTCTACAGAGTGAGTTCCAGGACAGCCTCCAAAACAATACAGAGAAACCCTGTCTTGAAAAAACAAAAACAAGACTACATAGCAAGACAAATGGGGGGGGCACTTACAGTTTCTAATATATAAACTTGGGGGTAGGGGAGGGGAGAGTTTCATTATGCAGCTAAGCAGCTCAGGCACATTTCAAATGTAGGCTAATCTTTTGCTTCAGGCTCTCAAACGCTGGGATTCCAGGTGTGAGCCACAGCACCAAGCCTAGGGGCAAAAAACTTTGTTTGTTTATAGATAAGGTCTCCCTATGTCACAGCCCTGGCTGGCCTGGAATTCACTATGTAGACCAGATCTACCCACCTCTGCCTATGGGATTAAAGGCGTGCACCACCGCGTGGCTTCTAGGGGGTTAAATCTCGTGTGTGTGTGTGTGTGTGTGTGTGTGTGTGTGTGTGTGTGTGTGTGTGTGTGTGTGCTCCTGGGAGGAGTGATTTCATCTCTTGCACCTCAGTGTCTTTCTTCATCTATGAAGAAGGGCTAACAACAGCGTATGTGTCACGGGCTGCCGAGGCGTGATGAGATAGCGGAGCATGCGTGAGCGGGACGGCTGCAGCCATCCCCGTCGCTGTGGTTATTAGTCACCCGGTCCCAGCTCAGCTGTGCCGAGATGTCAGGGGATTAGAGGGAGACAGGGACGAGCTCTGATGTGTGGGCCTCAGCATGTCGAGGCAGGTCTGCTTCCCACAGCTGGGGCCACGTGTGCCAACACATCCCTCCCCCAGGAGGTGCACTAGCCAAAGGGGGGTCAAGGTGGACTCCAGCCCAGTAGGAGGACGCCTCAGAGAAGCTGGCAAGCGCATGGACTCTGAACCCCACCTGGGGCTCGGCTCCACACCTGCTCTGCCTCTGCCTCCCTGAACCTGCCCTGCACGCTCATCTGATTCATCAGAAGAGAGCCACACCCAGGCCGGGGGCAAGGGTGAAAGATGTAAATAAGAGTCTGAAGGGGCCCTTGGGGAGCCGAGGATTACAGGGGGACGGGCGGATGCCTGGGTAGGGTGAGGATCCCGAGCATTTTGCCCTTTGAACATCTAATGAAAAGCCAGAGATAACCAGTCTTGTCGCTCATGCCTGTAATTCCAGCACTCTGGAGGACTGAGGCAGCCAGATCGTTATCACAAGTTCAAGGCCGGCCCGGATACATGGTGGATCCCTGACTAGGCTGAGGATCCGTGAGCCTTTTGCCCTTTGAACATTTTTTTTTAAAGATTGTACTTTTAATTATGGGTATGTGGGTGTGGGCAGGTATACGTGACTGCAGGTACCCAGAGGTCAGAGGCGTTGGATCCCGCTGGAAGAGGATTTATGGGTGGTTTGAGCTGCCCCACCGTGCTGGAAATGGAACTCTGAAGTCTTCTGCAAAAGTAGAACGTGCTCTTAACTCTGCAGCCCCCCTGTGAATAGTTAATGAAAGCTGGAGGAGGCGGGCTTGCTGGCTCACACCTGTCATCCCAGCCTTTAGGAAGCAAGTTAGCTAAACTGTCGTAAGTTCAAGGCTACCCTAGACACATGTTGGATGCCTGGCTATTCCCGACTATTTTGTTGGCCCTTTGCACAGCCAGTGACAGCTAGAGGTTGTGTTGGCTCATGCCTGTAAGCACAGCCTTGGAAAGGCTTACGGGGGCACCGAAGAGATGGCTGAAAATACTTGTGCTCTTGCAGAGGGCTGGGGTTCGATTCCCAGCGCTGACATGGTGGCTCATAACCATCTGTAACTCCAGTTCCAGGGGATCTAACCCCACCCCACACAACCTTCCCAGGCAGCACATGCATGCACACAGCATGTGTACATACATGCAAGCAAAACACTCACACACATAAATATATTTAAGTAAAGAAAGGGCTTAAGGCACCAGGATGGCCACAAGTTCGAGGCCAGCCTTGCTTCACAATGAATATGTACGTACAAGTGTGGTGGCACGCCCCTGTCCTTGATTCCCGAAAGGCAGGGGCAGTAAGTAGCAAGCTGGAGTCCAGGCTGCATGCAAGCCTGGTCCACACAGCAAACTCTATCTCGATGGAGGGAGGGGCAGCACAGAGGAACTTGTCCATAATCCCCGCATTTAGGGCAGCAGAGACGTAATTATCAAGAGTTCAAAGCCAGCCCCAGTTATGTAGGAAATCTGAGGCCAGGTCGGGGTACAGGAGAATGTCTAAAGAAGAGAAAAAAAGGAGCCGGGCGTTGGTGGCGCACGCCTTTAACCCCAGCACTCGGGAGGCAGAGGCAGGCGGATCTCTGTGAGTTCAAGACCAGCCTGGTCTACAGAGAGAGAGTTCCTGGACAGCCAGGGTGGTTACACAGAGAAACCTTGTCTCAAAAAACGAGAGAGAGAGAGAGAGATTAAAGAAAAAAAGGACAAACAGGCCAAGACATCTGAGAACGAGTTGCATCCTTCCACCTTATTGGTGTCCTTCAGAGCTGGGTGTTAGACCCCTCCAGAGGACTCAACGGAAGTCACAGACCCTTCACGTAACATTACCTGTGGACATAGACTCACACGATAATGGTACAATGTCAGAGGTTCCTAGGCAAGATGGGTTCGGACAGAGTTCTCCACTGCAGACTCTTCCCAAGAACAAGTAACCCGAGGGGGAGAGGGAGAGACGGAATAGGAAAGAGTAGAGGGTTCAAGAAATGGTTAGTAACCTGGTTGTCAGAAGGAGGGGGCCAATGGATGGAAAAGCTATGTAGAGATGCAATTGCGGGCGGGTAGCTAAGAGGAAGCTGGAAGACCACTCTCTAAGCTAGGGCAGAGAGGATGGATGTGGGACGGAGGGCACGCTCTGGGGATGAATGGGGTCCTACTCACTCCAGATCTGTCCTCCGGGTCGCTGGTACCTCCGCCCCCAGACACCAAGTCATCCTCAGATTCATCGAAAGAGGAGGCAGAGGAGAAGCCGCCAGTGCCGCCCTCAATCCGGGACGGGGGTCCCACCGGTTGGGCCTCAGGCTCGGGAGTCTCAGGGGTGATGATGAGGCGGGGCACAGGACTCAGGGCGCTGCACTCCAGGTGGGAGCACAGCTTAGTCACCAACTCCCCCGCCTCTTGTTCCTCTAATGGATCATCTCCATTGGATTGCCCCAAAACGCCGGCAGCCCAGGGACCATCAGTGCCAGGTTGAATCCAGGCACCGTCAGTGTCTTGAGAATCACCCCTTCCAGGCTGTTTCCAGGCTGTCTGAGTACTCTGTCGTGTGAGGGAGCCATGAGTTTGGGACTCTGTCCCGGAGCCGTCGGTGTCCTGTGGTGTCCTGGAACCATCCGCGGGCGACCCCTTACAGGGGCCATCAGCCCTTGGTTCGGGTGAGGGGCAGACTCCGTCTGGGTGAGTTTGGAGCTTGGACGTGCTGTGGTGGGTCCGGAGGTGATCCACCCAGGGCTTGTCCCTGTCTGGCAGAGTCTGCCACGGCTCGAGCCTCTCCGGTCCAGCCCAGGACTCATCAAACGCTGGCTGGCTACAGAGGCTGGCTCTCTTCGGCTGAGACTGGAGGTCGGGTCTGGGGGGGTCAGTTCGAAAGCCATCTGTCCAGGAACCGGCCATCTCCATCTCTGCCCGGGGGCTGCTCCCTTCTGGATGCGTCTGCAGGTTGGAGCCGTCTGGCTCCCGGCGTCGGCTGGGCTTCTCTGACTCCGCTCCCGGGCCGGCTGCCTCGCACACCGCGTGCCCGCCTCCACGGGCTTCAGCCTGCGGGCCGTCGGGACCCCGCACAGGCCCGAGGTCGGTCCTCTCCGCCTCGGACTGCAGGCTGGACCCCTCAGTCCAGGCCTGAGGCCCGCCCCCCTCGGGCCGTCCCGTCGGGCCACCCGCTCCCGGCCCAGGTCGCTGCAGTCCCGGCTGTCGCCGCCGCCCACCTCGCAGCGCCTCCAGCCCCATGCGGGCCCCGGCGGGCAGCGCGCCGGCCTCCGCCTCGCTCAGACTCCCCCGGCACGGGCAGCGCCTCATGCCCGCTCCCTCGGCTCGGGCTTCGGCCCGTCCGGCCCCACCTTCCCCGCTTTAAATCCCACGAGGGGTGTGGCTGGGGAGCCCCAACTCGCGGGTTCCGGCCCCGCAGAGGCTCCGGGCCGCACTGGACACGAAGGGGTTAACCGATACTCCACCTCCCAGGGAAAGCCCACACCGCCTCCCGCCCGCCGCCGGATGTGACGGGCGCGGGGCGGGGCCTCGGCTTGGCACCGCAGGTCTCACTGGGAAAGAGCGGCTCCGGGTTGCTGGTCCCGGTGTGGGTCGCGCAGCAGCTGGACCCTTTCCCCTGCGTCTCGCCAGCCTTACTCCAGCCAGTGACAAGTGCAGCCACGCGCTGACCCGTCATTCAGGGACAAGGTGGGCCTTGCAAAGACTTAGAGTCCCCCAGCCATTCCCCTGAGCGAGTGTCTACCCTCAACTGAAATGACCCTGAAGTCTGAGTGTCTCGGAGGGCTCGGTGGGACGAGCCTGTAAACCCAGCCCTCCCGGGGCGGACCTAGGGGGCTCGAGGGTCCAAGGTCATCTTTAGCTACGTAGTCAGGTCCAAGTCTGGGCTACAAGAGACCCTCCTTGTCTTAAAACACAGACGCGCGCACACACACTCGGGGAGCGGGGAGAACACGTTGGTACTGCTTTTAATCCCAGCACTCTGGAGCTAGAGGGAGGTGGATCTATGTGAGTTCTAGGCCAGCCAGGACTACACAGAGAGACCCTATCAACACACACACACACACACACACAGGTCCATCAAGCCTGATGACCTGAGTTCGAGTCCAGGATCACATGGCAGAAGGAAATTTGTGCTCCCACCACACAGGATAAATAAATGTTTGTCGTTGGTTTTTCGTTTTTGAATTCAGGGCTGGAGAGATGGCTCAGCAGTTAAGAGCACGTTGCTCTTGCAGAGGATTAGTTTGTTTTTCAGCTCCCTATGTAGGACTCACAGTCATCTGTGACTACAATTCCAGAGGATTGAATACCCTCTTCTGCCTACCTCAGGGCATGCACAGGCTGCACAGACATACATGCAGGCAAACACCCATACACATAAAATAAAAATAAGCCAGGGTGATGGTGGTGGTGGTGGTGGTGGTGGCGGTGGCGGCGGCGGCGGCGCACGCCTTTGATCCCAACACTCAGGCCAGCCTGGTCTACAGATCAAATTCCAGGGCAGCCAGTGCTTCACAGAGAAACCGTGTCTCAGAAACCAAATGAATAAAAATTGAATTTCTTAAACCTGGCGTGGTAGCCCAGTCAGAGGCGCACAGAACTTTGTGAGTTTATGCCCATTCCAGGGCAGCCAGAGCTACATATAAAAACTCTATCTCAAAATAAAAATAATGATAAAATAAATAGGTGGGTTCTTCTTTCTTAAGGAACTCTAGGGGCTGGAGAGATGGCTCAGTGGTTAAGAGCCCTGCCTGTTCTTCCAGAGGACCCTGGCTTAATTCCCAGCACCCACATGGCAGCTCCCAACTGTCTGTAACTCCAGTTCTGGAGGATCTGACGACCTCACACAGATGTACCCATTGCTACTTAAAAATAAAATAAATCTTGAAGAAAAAAAAACAGGAATTCCGATGTTAAAACAACAAAGAAATCCCATGTCTAAACCATGAGTGGTGGTGGGCACTCCTGTAATCACAGCACACAGGAAGTTCACTACCTCAACACCAGTCTGGACTATGTGGTGAGAGCCTGCCTCAAAAACTCGAGACTGGGGATTTACCTTTGTGCAGAGCGCGTGTACCAGGCCTTGGATTCTTAAATAACTAAATAAAGATGATCCTTTGTCCAGAGGACATATGTACCAGACCCTGACAGTAGGTTGCTATCTGTCAATCACTCTGCAGTAAGGGTCGATACAGCTCAGATTGGTTTGCTAGTTAGGTTCCCTTACATATGGGTGTATCTGTGCAGGTGCATTTAGGTGCCTTTAGAGGCCAGAAGGGGGTGTTGGACCTGGAGTTGGGGTTACAGATGGCTGTAACCTCTTAACTGCTGGGCCATCCCTCCTCCCCTCCCCCTACTTCCTTTGACTCTGTCACTGACCTATACCTCCAGCTCCTTTTTTTCCCCCCTCTCATTTATTTTGAGACAGGGCCTCATGTAGGTCAAGTTGGCCTCAAACCCAAGGATGACCTCAAATTCCTTATCTGCCTGCCACTGTCTCCCAAATGCTGGGATTATAGTCATGGGCCACCATAGTAGGCTTCATGGTCCCAGTTTACCCGGACTTTTGAGACTTCTGCCCTTCCTTAGTCTTGGTTTGTAATGTGTGCCATGAGTTCAGGTATGTGATATAAGGCCACTGTGAGCCATGCCCTGTAGGATTATTGTCTGAGGCAGTTTTTCAGCCTGTCCCTTACAGTGACATGGCCTGCAGCTCCCGAGGCAGACCCTCACCTTTGGAGGAGAACAGGGGGTACTTTCGGTCTTGGAATTGAGTCACCCATAAGAGGGACTCTGAGTACAGGCCCTAGGTTCCAGGATGAGTCATCCCTTCACAGGCTGACACGTCACGGAGGGGGACTCACATCATACACATTTGAGAACATTAGGTCCAGAGGCGGAGGAGGGCTCTTCTGAGGTCACACAGCCAAGGCACAGACACGGGGAGGCCTAATTCCCGACACAGGGTGGGGCTCGACCGAGAGCAGGGTGCTGTGGGGAGCACATCTGGCGTTCTCCCTCTTCAGTGGTGGGAAAGATGTCCCAACCACCAGCTGTTTCTATTCCAGACAAGAAGAGTGAGTCAGTTTTCTACCAATTGCCAAGGCTCCTGACTCAGCGCCGGGAATCTTGACTGAGTGTGTTCTGGGAAATGTCAGGCCCTCAGGAAACAGAGGGCTCCCACTGACGGGCCGCCTCTTGAGTGGGCGGGAGTAGAGAGTAGTGGGCAGCGGGGAGCGCAGGCACAGAGGTTGTTATGTTGAAGGCCGGAGCCGGGAACCAGTTCAGAAGCAAGGAATTGGATTGAAATGTTCAAGGAGGGAGGCTGGGTGTCAGGATGCGGGTGTTGGTGCAAACTGGAGAGGCTCCACGTGCAAGGAAAATGTTTCCGTGGAGGAGTGTGTGTCCAGATTGCTGGAGGTGCGCCTCAGTGGTAGAGAAGCTTGCTTAGCATGCACGTGCCCCCGGCCCTGGGTTTGTGCATCCACGGGGGAGGGGGTGGGGGAAGGAGGGGGAGATCCAAACACATAGGATAGCTTTCGAGCTTGCCGGGGGGAAACATACTGGATATGGATGCAATTTCAGCAGGCGGAAGTGGAGGGAAGAAGATCAGGAGTTCAAGGGCATCCATCATTGGCTACAAGAGAGGGAGGAGGTTAAGAGAGGAAAAATAAGGGGGACAGGAAGGAGGAGGAATGTTTTCTCGAAAGCATCCCTCCTCCCCTCGGTGTTTTCAGAAGGACCGTGGGTATATCTGGGACTCACGTGCCTCCACGAGGCTGACTCAGAAGAGGCACAGAGCCCATGCTTAGGTCCCACCCCCTTGCCACGCCTCCTGGCTCAGCGGGGCGTATTTTGTGCACGTCAGCGAGTTGCTGCGCTACCACTGGCTAGCTGGTGGAGGGGGGCGGGCATACACATGCTCCCGGAAGTGCAAGAGGCCCGGCGTGTGCTACACCGGGAGCCTGAGCCTGGTGGACCCGGTGCTTAGCAACGGGGGAGGTGCCCCGTAACGGAGTGTTTGTGGGGCCACAGGAGAGGAATTGTGGATACTTAGCAGCCCAGGGTAAGGCGGTGCCTAGCAACAAGGGGGGTTCTGAGGAGTAGGGAGTAGTCCTGGAGGACTTGTGGGTGTCTAGCAACGGGGGAGAGTCCCAGCAACCTCCAGGCGTATGGAGGGGGGCGCGGATTGGGGAGGCGCTTAGGGAAAAGCTGAGTTCATAGCAACGTGGGGGTAACTAGGAGAAATTTGGAAGTCGAGTAACGGGGAGGGGGCGTTTCAAAGAAGGGGGCGAAGCAAGGAGGCCCAGGCTGTAACCCTTACTATCCCTTAGGCAATGTGGCCGGAGCTAGGGACCGTGCTGCGGGGGACCCGTGGACCGCTGGGCAGGACTGCCATTCTGCCCCGTGGGGCCCTGGGGCCTAGGCCCCACTGGTGGGTAAGAGGCTGGGGGGGAGCCCCCGAGGAGAAGAGGCTGAGGGAAGCTTGCGCGGGTAAAACGATAGAGGCATCCTAAAGGAGGGCTTGCTCTCCGCTCGCCTAAAATCCACTTCTCCGCAGGCGCCATGTAGGGGTTGTCGGGCCCAAAATGTTCACCAAGACCGGCCTGGAAGAGGCCTAAGTGAGGAGGACATTCGCAGGGCACGGGAGGCCCGGCTCAGGAAGGCACCCCGGCCCCAGGTATCACTGCTCCCCGCGTGTCGGAATGCCCTGGGAGGCCCCTGGACCCCGGTCTCGAGGCAGGCTGGCAGGGTCTTGCGCCTCTCTGGCCGCTGTCCCTACCCCACACCTTCTCCCCTTTCGCAGCTCAGCGATCGCTCTCGGGAACGCAAGGTACCTGCCTCCCGCATCAGTCGCTTGGCCAGCTTTGGGGGTAGGTGTGGCTTGGGGGGGGTCTTCCCGTGACCTAGCTCAGAGGTAACGTTTGCAGGGTGAAGCAAGGAAAAGGACGAATCGGAGACAGTGTGGGGGGAAGAGAGATAGACCTGCAAGCCCCGGAAAAATAAGAATGTAAACCTTTGCCGGGCGGTGGTGGAGCACGCCTTTAATCCCAGCACTCGGGAGGCAGAGGCAGGCGGATCTCTGTGAGTTCGAGGCCGGGCTGGACCGACAGCCTCCAAAACAATACAGAGAAACCCTGTCTCGTAAAACCAAAAAAAAAAAAAAAAAAAAAGAATGTAAACCTTAACGTTTATTGAGCACCTGTAATGAGTAAGGCCTTGTACAGTGTGTACTTAAGACTCTTCTATTGATGGAGGGGTGGAGGCCCGGGTGGGGGTCAGCTGTGTGACTTCAGGTCCTGTAGCAGGATTGTTCAAACCTGTATGAAATAAAGGAATGCGTTGTAACCAGTGTTGAAGAAAAGGAGAGGAGTTAGCCAGGATACCCATGTGTAATTTCAGCAGTTGGGAATGTAGGTAGAAACAGGAAGATCAATTGTGCAAGGTCATCCCTGGCTAGGTAGTGAGCCTGAGGCCAGTCTGGGCCGCACCAGACCCTGTCTAAAGGAGAGAAAGGGAGAGAGGAAGAGGGAAAGGAGGGCCTGGCTTGGTAACACAGGCTTTTCCCTGTGATCCCTGTTCTCAACGGGCCGAGGCCGGGAGACTGAGAAAGCAGACCCTGTGCCTGACAGGTTAATGCAGGACTGCTTGAACACACAAACTAAGGCGAACCTGGGCATCAT